GAGGTGGGTAGCCCCCCTAAATTCTGCCCTGTTCATCCAGAAAGTTCATCCCTTGGGGCATCCCAGTCCCTGAGCCTCAAGGCCCCCCTCACATCCCATAAGGCATGGCTGGTCACAACCACACCAAGATATGGCACATCCAACTGGTGACCAATATGCGCCCCTGAGAGAAAGGGGCTGGGGTCTGAGCAGGCCCCAGGTTGGTGGCAGGGGGCTGGTCGGCTGGGCAGGACTCACACTCGCTTCCGCTGCACCAGCTCCACATAGTCCTCCGAACGCGCATAATACTCATCTGGGCTCAGTGCACCCCAGAAGTTGGACCACAGCTTGCCATGGCGTGACAACATGGGAGCTATCACCTTCCTGTGGACAGGTGGGCATGAGGGCTGCGCAGAGGGGAGTAGCATTCCTGTAACCATTGGGGTATTCTAGCTGAGGGGGACAAGTGACCTGTTCTCCTCAATGAGAATGCGCAGGGTCTGCCTGTTGGTGAGGACAGCGTCAGCATCCAGGCTGAAGTAGAACTCACACTTGGGGTCCTGCCGACAACTGTCCCTAGAGGGGACAGACCCACAGACAAAGGAGCTGACATGGGCAGCAGGCAGAGGGAGGGGCTGTGGAATGGGGAAATTCCCCCACCCCCACGTCCTCTGCTGGTGGACAGCAAGGGAGGGGACAGTGGAGTGGGACTGCAAAAGTTCAAGTACTGAGGCCCAGGAGAGGCTGGCTGGGTGACAGGTGAGGCAAGGGCCATGCAGTAGGTGGCAGACTCCCTCCTTGCCCAGTGCTTGCTCACATGGCCATATCCCTGGCCTCGCCTGGACTCAGGGCCTCCTCTGGCCCCACCAGCTTCACAGCTGAGAAGTGGTCCTGGAGCTGTGGCCAAGCATCTGCAATGTGGGGCTCATGGAACACTTCCTGGAGATGGGTGGGGAGGAATGGACAGGAAAGATGGCACTGAGTGGGGGTGGGGAGGCAAAGGTGAAGGGAAGGAGTTTGGGGTGGCGATAGGGGAAGGGTCCCCCAGAAGGGTCAACAGGGAGGGGCTGCCAGGTGTCTCACATTGTTATGTAGGAAAAGGGTGACCCTGTCAGGTGGATAGTCCAGGAGCAGGAGCCGCTGCAGGAAGCGGGGCAAGAACGGTGTAGGTTGTTCCACAAACACAGCCAAAAGCACCCGGGGGGGAGGCTGGAAGACAACAGGACATGGCTCAGAGGAGGGCCTGGGCCTGCCCTTGCCTCCCACCCCTGCCCAGTGTGTTCTGCCTATATCCCACCTCCAGTGCCCTCATGCCCCACACCAGCACACCCCTCACCTGCCCCCCCGGGAGTGTCCTCCGGTCCCGGCTGCAGAACCCACAGCCTCCCTCAGGACTCCAGCCATTGGGGACATAGTTTCCCAGGTAGTTCAGCTGGAGCTGTTAGGGAGAGACGTGCACGGCTGAGGCAGAAAAGTCTGGGGTAGACGTGAGGGGTCAGAGGACAGGTGGGGACAGGGCAGCAGGGGGAGGGGGAGCTTCTCCCAGTTCCTCTGCTGTGGGGGCTGAGGAGGGCTGACTTTTCAGAAGGGTTATAGGTATCTAATGGTTGGGGCAGGGCAAAGGAAAGGGCCACTGGGGGCACCTTAGTGGGACCGTTTCCATGGACCACAACAGGGAGTGTATCGTAGGCCACGTTCCGGATTCGCACGTGATTCCGATCAAACTTTAAAACTATTTCATCTGGGGAAGAAAGGCCAGGATTTAGACTTCCTTTCTCTGGGAGCTGTCAAGCAACAAGTTCTTCTAAATATGGGTCTCAATTTCTCCAAGGGATAAAGGAATGCCTGTGTCATCCTAGACTTGGGCTCCATGATGGCAGAAGCCCTGATAGCTTCACCTATTACAGGGTGAAGCTGTGACCAGTTACTACCTGTGACCTGGGGCAAGTCACTACCCCCTCAGGGAGTCAGCTTCCTCTTTTGTACAGGTGAACAAAAGGGACTGTTGCTATGTTAAACTCTGTCACAGAAGTAAAGCCCCCAGCCTGGTGCCCTTGCCAGCATGTGCTCAGCTAGTGCTGGATATGCTTTTGCTGGTATGGTTGTTGGTATTATTAGCACAGCGCAGCTCACATACACAGCCATTGGCTGTTTGATGACATTAACATAAAGGTGACCTATAGCCAGACAAGTCCCCCCCGAGGGGCCCCTCCCGGTTCAGGACCCTGTTGTCCTCTACCTCTCATGGCCTTCTTCCTCACCTAAAGCCCCATTGAGGTTCTGAAAAATCCGGGATTTATGATCCAGATTAAGACTGAGTTTCTCCTGCATTGGGTGAGATGACATGGACAGTTCATTGAAGGGAGGTGGGAGGATATCATCTCTCGCTCTTTTCCCTTTACATCTTTACTCCTCCTCTCCCATCCAGCCTGAGGTCTCCACTCCCACAGAGCTCCAGGGTGCCGCCACTCCTCTGCTCCTCCTCACCCTCAGTCCTGGGTCCAGGTAGAGTCGTGTGTAGAACAGTTGGTCATCATCGTCGTCCTTGTACTTCCATTGGCGGACGATGTGGTGGATGGTGGGGGCAAAGCCAATGAATCCTGGTAGGAAGGAGAGGTGTTGACTCCAAGACTTCCAGGGTCCTGCAGCCCTGTCTCAGGCCCTCTTTAGATCAGGCATGTGGAACACTCCATGCCTCACCACTCCTGGCCCCTCTACCTGGGCACTCTGCCACTCACCACCAGAGTTGAGGAAGCGCTTCCCAGTGCCCACCTCAGGGTACTGTTCCGCTAGTCCCCACTGGGGCCAGCAGAAGCCCTCTGCAGAGAAGAGCAGGCGGCTGCCACTCTGGACAAACTTCTTCAGCAGCTCTGAGGGGCTGCCAGCCAGAATCACATCGTAGCTGGGCACAGAAGGAGAGAATGAGCAGGAGGCCACTAGTAACCTCAGTATCATTATCCTCCTTACCCTTCCTCATGTTCCCTCTCCTTTCTCCCCAGTCCCAGCCCCTTTACCTGTCCACAAACATGATGACCATATCCTCCTGGTCTGCATATTTCTCCATTTCTCTCTTTAGCCACCTGACTTTCTGTCCTCCACCAACAGTTCGGGCCACATCACCCCCTCGCCACTCCTCTCCCAGGCCCAGGGTCTGTGGGAAAAACCCTCTGTGACAAGGAAGAGCTCAGCCAGCTAATATTGAAGTGGTGGTGGAGGACTGGCTCCCAACTAGGCTCACGGTGGTGGGGGAGGGGGCCGGGGGGTGGGGGGAACCCAGCCATCAGCCCACCCTGCCTGCTGGGACCACCTTCCCAGGGGCCCTGAGGGTTTTCCTCCTCCTCACCCGCACACTGTAGTTGAAGAACTCAGCCGACTGCAGGAAACGCCGGTATCCCTCTGTCTCAGCTGTGGCCACAGTAATCACCAGCAGCTTCTCTGTCATCAGCCAGGAATTGGCGCTTGGGACCCACCCCACCCCCAACTCCGTGCTCAAAGTGGCTCACTCTCCGTAGGCCCCCTCCACCTCCCTCTGACTCTACTGCTCTGGTCTTTTCTCTTCTTTATTTCTCTCTCTCTCTTTTTCTTTCTTTTTTTCTTTCCTTTTCTTTCCAGTCTCAAGCTGTCACCCTGGGCAGAGTGCGGTGGCGTCACAGCTCCCAGCAAACTCCTGGGCTTAAGCGATTCTCTTGCCTCATCCTCCTCTTTCTTATTCCCTCTTAAACCCTCCCTCTCCCAGGGTCACTTCAACTCCAGTGAGAGCGAAGTGGGAGTGACACGCGGGGATCTGGGGTCAGTTCTCATGGGAAGGCGGGAAGTCCCAGTTCAGGTGGGGAGTGGGAGAGAGGCCGCGAGATTCAGTCCCAAGGAGCACGTGGGCCAAGACAGAGACCGGCCACCCCTTGGAGCCCCCAACCACCTCTCGGGCCAAGTTGACAGACACGGCAGCCCGGCGCCCACTCAGCCCGTCCGACCCTCCCCGGGTTCTCACCTGGGTTGACCGGGTTGCTCCTTCGTGGCCGGTCAGACGCTGAGGCGGCAGGAGACGGCGACGGCAGAAGCAGTAGTAGCAGCAGCAGCAGCAGCAGGAGGCGGGGACCCGGGCCCGACCCGGCCATGGCGGGTAGCGGGCCGGAACCGCACACAGGTTCGCACGGGGCTCGGCTGTGCGTCTTGAGCCCAACTCGGGAGAGGGGCTCTGGGGAAGGGGAACCCCGGCTGCTGTACGGCCCGCTGCGAGGAGGAACAGGGCCCGGGCTCCGCCCTGGAAAAAAGGCGTATCCGGAGGCTACAGAAAACTCGAGATGCTGGCGCTGCGGACAAGGAGAGGATTGTCCTGGGCGCCCGGCTTGGGGTGGGGGAGGGCGGGGGCTCAGGCCGGCTAGTGGGAGACCAGGACTTAGGTTCCAGCCAGCCAGGCCGTCTGCCCACCTGACACATGTGGAAACTGAAACCCATAGAAGGGAAGTGACCCCTTGAGGAGGATCTGGCGGCACGCGGAGGCGGGTCCTTGCCACAGCCCGGCCCGGCACAGCCTGGAGGAAAACGGAGAGAGCGAGGCGCCAGGGGCGCGCGGAGCTGGGACAAATGGAGGAGCAGGGGCGGCAGAAGGCTACGGACTCTGCGGCCCGGGGAGCTGGGGGCTGAGTTTTCTGTAGAGGGTCACCAAGGACCTTTCGGATTGCCCACTGAAGCCTGCCACTTTCTTTAACAGTCCGGCCCACCACTTCTACTGCCCCAGGAGAAGTTCCAGGAGCTGCCTTTGTGATGATGGCATCTACAGAAGGATCAAAGGAAAATAACGTTTTTTGCTAGACTCTCGGCACCACTTCTTTAAAGTGATCCATTTCCCGACGCTCACAAAATTTACACAACCTCATTGAGGCCGGAAGCAGTTTTGCCCTTACAAAACATGGCGGAAAGCGTTCTTATCTCCAAGGGAACAGCGCCCAAGGTGTCCAAGCAAGAGGTGGGCGGGAGTCATTGTCGTTCTGCGCGTGAGCAGAAGTACATGCCGCCGGAAGTCCAAAGCCTTTGGTTTTAATACGCTTGCGCAATAGCCATTTCCGGCAGCTGTGTTGTCCAAATGGTGGAGAAGAAAACTTCGGGTATGTGAACCCCCAGCGATTTGCTTCGGTCCTTCTCCCAGGTCTAAGCCAGGCTCAGAATCACCTTCCTAGTTATTCGTCTCAGATCCCTTACCCAACCCTAGGGTTCTGGCATTGGGGCAGCCTCCAAATGCCTGCTCCAAGCCGGGCCAGGGGATGAAGAAGAGAAAGATCTGGGGCTGCACTGTGGCGGGGTCGGGGAGGAGACAATCTCGCTGACCTGCCACTGCATTATAGAATGATAAGCGCTATGGCATAGGGAGGCGGCACTTCACCTGGGCTCAGGGAGGAGTGGTACCCAGCCTAACTTCTGGGAATGAGGGGACTGGCAAGGCTCAGGAAGGAAAAAAAACAAAAGCGCATTAATTGAAAGTTGAGTTACAATTTCGCTTGGTACGTGTGCAGGAACGATGCTTCAGCAGCGGAACCGCAGCTGCAAAGGCAAAAAGGAAAAAGCAAGTCGCTTAGGAAGCCAGGTTCACAGTTAGAAGCTTGTGGAGAAACAGAAACGCCAGAGGACTGGGACATTTTGAAAGGCGTTATATATACTGCAGAAGAGTTTTATGGAGAGGCACTGAAGAGCCGTCAAAGGCTTTTAAGGCAAAGGAGTGACCAAAACAAATTTGTTTCACTATGGCAGTTCTGACTTTAGTGCAGAGAACAGATTGGAGGGACTAGAACAACTCTGGCCAGTAGGACTTTCTGGATGATGGAAATGATCTTAATCTGTGCTGCTCAGTAATGGGATATTAGCCACATGTAGTTGTTGAGCACTTGAAATGTGGCTAGTGCAACTGAGGAGTTTTAAATTGGGGTGAGGAGCAGCCTGTGTAGGAAGAATAATAGTGGAATTGGGCTCACTTTGGATAAATTAGGACTACAGTTTTCAGCCTTGGTTGTATATGTGAATCACCTGGAGAGCTTTTCATTTATATACTTAATTTTTTTGTCAAGAGACAGGATCTTGCTATTTTGCCCAAGATGGTCTGGAACTTCTGGCTTCAAGCAATCCTCCCACCTCTGCCTCTTACAGTGCTGGGATTACAGGCATGAGGAAGCATACCTTTATTGAATCTTAATTAGTCTACTTTTTTTTTTTTTTTTTTTGAGACAGAGCCTCAAGCTGTCCCCCTGGGTAGAGTGCCATGGCATTACAGCTCACAGCAACCTCCAACTC